CCTTTTCAACCCTCTTCTGGGCTTTAAGTTCTCAGAGAGGATTGTGCAGATTTGCAAACAAATCCAGAGGCTGAGAGCTGGTAACAAAGTCAGACTGACATTTCCCTGCCAGAGAAATACAAGGCCTTGTGCACTGAACTTCCTGGGGTTGTGCTCCTGGATGTCTCTAAGAGTTACTGTCCAGTCATTAAATGCTTATAACCCATTGCTGAGAACATTATCCCAGAAACTATACTTGCTTCCCTGCCGACAGCAGGTGGCTTTCATCTTTGACCTGGGTTTTTCTCTGTTTGTTTTCATCATTAGCTCCATGAGGGACTGGAGAAGGCTACTAGGTGGATAGGCAAAAGCATTTTTTTAAAAAAATCAAATACGGATGGGTGTGGTGGCGCACTCGGAAGGCAGAGGCAGGCAGATCTCTGTGAGTTCAAGGCCAGCCTGGTCTACATAGTGAGTTCCAGGACAGCTGGGGCTACAGGGAGACCCTGTCTCAAGAAGACCAAAAAAAAGAAAAAAATCAAATACAAATTTCTTTCTTGTCCAAGAAAATCTTGAGCTAGCAAGTCAGAATTTTCTTATGGCTACCATGGGTAATAATTTTAAATAGAAAATGAGAATATGTTTGAATATGAATGTTTATTAACATTTTTATATCAGGGTATATAAAAGAAGCAGTGTTTTGTAACTGTTGAGACAGTGACATTGAGAAAATACTGTAAATATGTATTTATTAATTTAAGAACATAATTTCAGCACTTATTTTCTGATGGGTATAAATGAAGAAATCAAACAGCCCTTGGCAGTAATGCAGATCTCGCTATATTTCTTTATGTATAGTGTATTATTTTTAATAATCACAGTTTATCCTCTCAAAATATATGCATATAGGCAAGGAAAATTTAATAATTAACATACACCTATAAAAATACATTACATTTTTTATTAGAAGTCTGCTTAGTACAACTTAGTATATGCTAAAATATATGATGAGCTATGTGATCTTTAAAATATATATTTATTTGTTAATGTTTTTACTAATTCTTTGAGAATGTCATACATTATATTTTGATCATATTTACCCACCTTCTTCAGATCCTCCTAGATCCACCCCATTCCCTTCCCATCTAACTTTATGTCCCCTTTTTATTCTTATTTTTAAATTTTATATTTTATTTTATGTGTATGAGTTTATTGCCTGCATGCATGTAAGTGCACCCATGTCAGAAGTGGGTATTGACTCTCCTGGAACTGGAGATACAAATGGTTGTTAGCTACCATGTTGGTTCTAGGAATTGAACACAGGTCCTCTGTAAGAGCAACCAGTGCTCTTAAATCCTGAGCTACCTCTCCAGCTCTTTTTACTTTTTCAAGTTCAATTTTTGCTGCCTACACCTCTTGGTTATGTCACCATACACTGGAATATGGTCAATCTACCAGACCACACTCTTAAAGCAAACTAACTCTCCCTCTCAATTGCAATTAGTGCCTCAGCTAGGGGTCAAGCTTTGTGTCTACACTGCCCCCTCATGATTTTTTGTCTGGCTTGAATTTGCACAGGTCTTGTGAATGCTGTCTCAACTACTGTGAGTTCATATGTGCAATGGCCTGTTGTGTCAGGAAAACACTGTTTCATTGTAGTCAGGCACCAGCAAGGTCCACTGTAACCAGACTAAACTCAATGTCACAGCATATCTTCCAGCCGCAGGCTCCTACCACTGAGGATTACAGGTGGAAACTACCACATATGTTCTTATCTCATTTTAAAAAAATTCTATTACTTTCTGATAATTCCACATACACAATTTCTTACTGGAATTTTCCTGTTCTTGAACATAGAATCTGTTATTAATTATATTAAGAGGAAGCATCAAAACTTTGGCCCATGCATTTTAACATCTGAATTTATATTTATAAAACCATCTAAGGATATCAGCATTTAAAAAGTTATATTGGTTAGAGAGATGGCTCAGTGGTTAAGAGCACTGGCTCCTCTTCCAGAGAACCCAGGTTCCATTCCCAACATCAACTTGGCAGCTAACAACTGTCCATAACTCCAGTTCCAGGGGATCTTACACCTTCTCTGACTTCCATAGGGATTGCACAACACGGGTGCACTTGCTTACACACAGGCAATACACATAAAATAAAAATAAACAAAATAATTTAAAAGTTATATTTAAAAAGACTACCTTTACATTTGCAGACATCTAAGCTGTCAAATAACTAACTGAAATATTATTATAAAAGTGATACCCTAAGTGAAATACTATACATAAAATAGAATTAAGATTGGGAGGCAGAAGCAGGCGGATCTCTGTGAGTTCGAGGCCAGCCTGGTCTACATAGTGAGTTCCAGGTCAGCTGGGGCTACGGGGAGACCCTGTCTCAAAAAGACCAAAAAAAAAAAAAAAAAAAAAAAAAAAAAAAGAATATAGTTGTTATTTCATTTCTTTCCTAATTAACAAATCTTTGAGTAGTTCTTCATTGTGTACTTAATAACATACAGGCACTTTGGCCTTGGATTAAAGCTTCCTCTTGATCTTACCCTAATTTGCTTTTATGACATTTTCCTTCACCATTTTAATTGATCCCAGTCTTCATCTAAATGAAATTTGTCCTGATTCTCCCAGCGTGTATGGGATCGTTCCACTCATCGCCCTTCCCCTAATTTCCAACACCTGGTATATTTCTGGACCTAATCTTTATACATGTCTGCTGACCTCACCTGTCATTTTAAAGACCTAGTACTAAATCTACTTCTTCCCAGACACCTTTATTATCACAATGGAAAGATTCTTCAGCAGAGGACCACTCTCCTTTGCTCTCTATACTTTTTAAAATGATTTATCCAATTTTATTTTGTAATATTAGTTATATCATAGCTATTAACCATGCATTTATTAAGCATCTGATTAAAGATATGTAAAACACATAGTTCTAATAGATATTGGATGAAAGCCTTAAGAAGCTAATTTTATGAGAATTTGTAACAACCAGAGAATGAAATATTATTATATATTTTTGTCCTGTTCTAAGCAACGACTATCTACCATTGTATTTCTAGTGTGTATGTGCATATATAAATATATATGGCACCAAACATATGTGAACTAAACTATAAACATATTCAATTCTTCAGTTTATAATGACTAGAAATCTTTTAAACATCAAAAGAATGAGACAATTACCAAGTGTTGTGACTCACACATAATCCCAGCATTCTCGAGGCAGAGGAAGGCAGGTCTCTAGGAGTTTGAGGCAGGCCTGGTCTATCTAGTGAGTTCCAGATCAGCCAGAAAAAAAAAAAAGGAAGACACTAAAATCTTTGGGGTATTGTTATTTGCTAATTCCAAACTATTAGTAAATATATGAAACGTTTTACTCAAGATCAAACCTTTAAAGTTTAAAATTATTCTTCATTTTAAATTGGTGTTTGTTGTAAGCTTAAAAACAAGTCAAGGGGCTGGATGATGGCTCTGCAGTTAAGATCACTGGCTGTTTTTGCAAAAAAAAAACCTGGGTTAGAATCCCACCACCCACATGACAGTTAACGACCTTTCGTAACTCCAGTTCCAAGGGATCAGACACTCTCTTTAGACTGCTGTCGGCATTGCACGACATTGGCACACTTACATATGACGCACATAACATAAAAATAATAAATAAAATACTTTTTAAAAGGTCGAGGGTATTAACGACTGGTACTAAATATTATGTCACTAGAGCCATTATTGTCATTCAAGAGAAAGGAATATAAAAAATGACTCACTCTGTGTGTTGCGTACAATGTCATCTAGTGTTTGTTCTTAGGTACTCTGAAGATAACAATATTTCTGATCTCTATTCTGTCTCCTTCCTTTTTTCAAGAACATATGTGTGTATGTGTATTTATATATCTATAGTTATGGATATATATATAAACATATACATATATGACACCAATTTTCTTTCTTAAAGTAGTCATTCAGACATTTCCTCCAAGTTGAGCTAGACTATAGACATGAAGAAGCACAGAGGAGGTGGGTACTAAATATTCAGAGATGAACCTTGTCTATTAACATTTCACTAACTTTATTGAATATAGAAAGATGAAGAACAGAAAGTATGTACAACTTATATAATGTACATTAAATGTCAATAGATTAATGGGAAAGTTGACTCCAAGAATAATTTTTAAAGTTGAAATTAAATGCCTAATTTGTTCAATCCATGAATCAGTTGCATTTTTATGATATTTTATTAAAAAAACCCAAAAGCTCATTGATTCAATTTTTTAAAATCTTAGAAATTTTAACTTCAAAAGGACATAATTCTGCTTGTTCTATTTATTTGATCTGAATGTTTATATTTGCTCAAATACATTTCATTACATATATATATATGAAGTGAGGAAAATATAGGTTAATATATAAAAATTATTTTCATATGTATGGATGTATGTGTTTCTGACTCCTTCATGTTTAGTTAGTACTGTATTAAATTTGAGAAAGACCAATTTTATTTCTATACTGATGCCTATTTCTAAAACATGTAAATATTGTTCTTAAGCATCTAGGTGAAACATAGGTCCTTCTAACAACAGCCATTGAATTTAGATTTCCTGGCACTATACTAAATACATTACACTAATTTTTCCATTTAATCATCAAAATGACCACATTTTTCAAGGCATTAATCATATTTTATCAATGACAAAATAGAGTTGTGGAGAATTAGCATTTTATAGGTCATGAAACAAAATTGGCAGGCAAAGGATTTGATCCCCAGGCTGCTTTAATTACTGCAGACTTGCATGCATCTGTTCATTCACGAAAGTTAAATTGATTGTATTGTATTCATTTAAGCATGAGAAAACATTTATGGTTAATTGAAAGACTAGCTCTTCCATTATTTAGGAGTTGAAAGAGTAAATACCCAGGCTCTGCACCTTTTTAAAAATATCATATGTTTAAGGTACTATCTGTAATATTTTATCCTTATTTGTTTTTCCATTTTTTCAGAATGATGCAGGTGGCCAACGCAGCCTGATAAACAAATGGACGACTTTTCTTAAGGCCAGATTGATTTGCTCAATTCCTGGAAATGACGGGGCAGACACTCATTTTGATGAACTTCGTAAGTCACGTCTCTTCTTTCTTCAAAAAGTCCTACTAACTAATTAAGTAGCTCAGCGTTTATTTTACTTCAGTGTCATATACCAAGATACACACACACACACACACACACACACACAGTATCAGCACAGCTTGTAGGAATTATGCTTAGGAAGGTCATATTTGCCCATCCAAAATCAACGTGTTGGGCTAGGTGTGGATGCACATTGTAGTGAAGGATGCTCCTGTCTTTTCAAGAGTCTGCAAATTGAATAAAGAAAATTAAATAGCAGAATGCAAAATAAAGATCAAGAACTGTGTGACTTCAAAGTCTATCCATCTCTCATGCACTCCTGAGCTGTCTTTTATGGGAGCCACCTTTACAGGTAGGAGATGATAGGATTCCTTATTCCAAGGCTGCCCTCTGCTGGAGAGTATGGGAGATTTGAGTTGAGCACTGTCTCAGGACCCCGACCCCCACCCCCAAAAACTAGGCTGATGAGGAATTCTTTTAATTTCTTTTTATTCTTCCCCAATCTAATTTTAGAAAGACTCTAGTTGACATAAAGTCAGCATCATTAGCTTTTGTCTTCTCATTTTTAAAAAGTTGTTTTCATGCATGCAAAATAATCGATTAAGTCATCCTTTTCTTTATGTATTTTGCTTTACTGGTATTGAATATAAGCATAAGCACACTTGTATTTTAAATAATAATGCAAAATATTTTAATACTCATTTGCTATCGATGCTGCATTAATTACAGGGCAGATGCTTTCATATCTAATTAGTAAATTGATACACTTACAGAACATGTTTTAACATTTCAGGTGAAAATCTTGATTTTTCCTCATTTCCATTTTATACGAAATCACAATTTTTTTTGTAGTGTGTATGTATGTATTGCCTGCATGTATGTAAGAACATCCTTGTCTTGCAATGCTGATGGAGATCAGAGGAGGGTGTCAGATACCCTAGAACTGGAGTTATGGGAGGTTTTTAGCTGCCATGAGGGCCCAGGGAGCTGAACCCAGGTCCTCTGGAAGAGCAGTCAGTGCTTTTAACTGCTGAGCCATCTTTCCAGCCCCCAAATCACAGATTCTTAGCTGAAAGCAGTCATGTAGAATACCAATTAAGTCATCTAGCTCATAGTTAATTGAAGTGTACCACAAGGAGGTTATATCATACAACAAATGAGAGCTTTTCCTCTTGATTACTTAATGTTTTAGAGATTTACCTTAAAATTATATGCTGCTTAGATCCTTGAAATATTATATAATTTTAAAAAGCAAACATAAAACTGAAAAACAAAAATATAATAAATAATTATTATTTTTCCATTAATAGAAGATATCTATTTACTCCCCACAAGAGATGAAAGAAATCCTGTAGTGTATGGAGTCTTTACTACAGCCAGGTATGTTGAACCAAATGCTTTTTAAAAAATCATTTATTTTATTATTTGATTTTCATGTGTATGTGTGTACATGCATGTGTGTGCAAATATGTCCACATGTATATAGGTCTCCACAGAGGCCAAAAGAGCGAATCAGATCCCCTGGAGCTGGATGACAGGCAGTTGTGAGCCACAGATGTGGATGCTGGGAACCAAACTCCATTCCTCTTTAAGAGAAGTAAACACTTTTAACTTCTGGGTCATCTCTCCAGTCCAGAACAAAATACTTTTGTTACTTGAACATTTTTTATGTATATAAGCCAACATAGTTGTTTATTTGTTTGTTTTTGCAGTGTGGTAGGTCAAAGTCATGGCCTTTTGCATGCTAAGGTAGTACTCTTCCCTTGAGCTAGGTCTCTAGCCCCAAGCTAAATAGTTTTATTTGTTACATTTTTTTTTTCATCATTGTAACCAAATACCCATAAGACACAACTGTAGGAGGAATAGCTCATTGTTTGAGTTTGTAATCCATATGGTGGGGAAGGTATGGGCCAAGAGCTTGCTCACACTTGAGGAAGCAGAGAGAGACTGGAGCCCAAAGTAGGTTTAGGCTAGGACCATCAAGGCCCACTCCTCAGAGAACTCTTTCATTCAGTGAGGTCTCATCCACTGAAGGAGCTACATGTTTCAAAACAGTAACAAAAGCTGGGGACCAAGTATTCAAGTACATGAGCATGTTAAGGGGAATTACATGTCCTAACCATAATAATACTTAAAGGATCTTTTTATATTTTTCCTCATAGTAGCATGTCACACAGTTTTTTATCATTTTACCTGTCATTTAGTGTTTTTTAGAAATCTATTCATATTTATGTAAAACTCCCTTTGTTTTATTTGCATTAGCTGGTAGCCTCTATACTGATTACCACAAATGTTTTCTACTTATTCACTGTAAATTCCTGTTGTTTTCAATTTACTGTTGCTGTACATAATCCTTCAACAGTTAGCCTGGGCACATGCCACCCCACATACGGGCAAGCATATCGCTGATAGAAATTCACAGGTACAGTTGCTACGTACAAAAAGTATATGCATATACTGCCCCTAATTATTATTTTTTCCATCTGTAAGACCACAGAAGTGGCACTAAATAAATGCACACATACATGATTGAGTTTATTGACAAAGGTTTAATTAATCATGGGATGGGACAACCTTTTCCTGTCACAAACTATCTTAGATATGTTCTTGTTATGTTGAAAAGTTGGAGGTGGCTGCTTTGAAGATTTCACTGAATTATCACCACCAAGACAAGTGGCCAACTCATAGTACCAAAAGGCTAAACAGAAGCTTTTCCTCACCTTTATCCCTGTGTTCTTGTTCGTTCTATATAATGCTACCTTATGCATGTTATCATGTCTCTGCCTTCCACAAAGTCGCACTAGCATCTACAAACCTTTTTATAAAGGTGTGGTCCCTACTGTCTTCATTTTATTTCATTCAGTATATTACGTTTGACTGTGTTTTAAACATGTAGTTGCTTATTTTACACAATACTGTATTCATGTCTGGAAATACTTTTCTCTTTCTACAGCTTTTCTCCTACTTTTTATCAATGTGTTTTGACTTCAGTAGTGGAAGAGGTGAAGTGTAGTTTTGGGCATGAAAGAAAGAATTTTGTTGTCTCCCTTTGAATAACTTCCTAAACTATTTTATACAGAAATTGCAGTTTATTTCGTTCTTTAGTAAGATTGTCATTCAAAATATCTCATTTAGAAAATGAAACTGTCTTTTGATTTAGGATAGATCAGAAAACATAATAGTATTGGATTGTTTATAGATATAAGGTATGCATATTTTAGTATGAGCACAAAGAAGAAGCCCTAAAAGGCTGCTGACTGGGGGTGCACTGGAAAGATGCAAGAGGAGCAAGTGCTGTAGTAACTCAGACATCTCAGCTCTCGTTTTCTTGGCACCTTTCCCTTCACAGAGCTTTCTTTGAAGTTGATGTGTGTTCCACACATAAGACACAGATATGTGCCAAGGAAATGTAGCCCCGAGATGGTTTTTTTTTTTTTTTAACTTCCTATCAAGTTTCTGCCCACCCAGAGTGTGAAGTTACAAGTCAGCTCTTTGTTCCTAGTGTTCTTTGTTGTTTTACTTTTAATGCTGCCCTGAAGACTGAGGTAATGTTGGAATGCAAGTGATGTCTTTTGTCTAGTGAAAGACATAATTAGCCTTCAAAAATTGTGCATTATTCCTTTGAAATATGGAGGGAGATATATAATTTTACATCACAATGTCACTTTCCTTCTAGGTGCCTGTTTACTGTTATCTTCTAATTTTCTTTTCCATTGATGCCATTCCAAGAATATTAATAATCAGTTTAGTCATGCTAGAGAATCATTAGCTTGTTTGTATAAAGCTGAGATGACATTTTCTAGTTCATAAAGTTTGTTCTTGGTTTTAGGAACAGACTTCACAGAATGTTTTATATTCAAAGTGTATTTTATTTTCTGGAAAGGAAACAAGAAAGAAACATCTGATGAGTGCTAGCAATTTTCATCTCTGACTTGTAAGGAGTTGTAAAATTCCTGTGGCGCTTTTATCTGCTTAACATTTCCCTTGAAATTACATGATCATAATCAGTTTAAATATGAAGTAGGCACCTAAAATTCATAAGTTTAATTAAAATAACCAAAGAAGTTTATTTCTGCACTAGAAATTTCTTTAATAAATCATTTGAACAAAATGTTTAATATCCAAACTTTATGATGTCCATTCCATTTAAACAGAACGGACCAAAGGGATGACAAGATGGTTCAGTGCCAAAGGGATTTGCCAATGAATTCTTAGAACTTGAGTTCTTCCCTTAGAACCCATGTGGAAGAAGAGAATCAACTTCCTCACGTTGTCTTTCTCCCTCTCCTCCCCACCCTCTCTCTCTCTCACACACACACACAAATAAATAAAATGAAGTGTTTATAAAAGATGGATGGCTGGTATTATTTATTCATGAATCCAAATGATTACTTTTAAACACAGGTACTGTAGCTTTTTTTATTGGAATCCATTCATAAGTGTTTCAATGGTTTCAAAACTTAAACAATATATGAATAAATATTATACCTATTTACTTATTCTCTTTAATTTTTCTAGATGGTTCCAATTTATCAATTAAGTGTCAGTGGTGGCCACACCTCTCTTCTGATAATTTGCTTGGTACCATTTTTGGTGCTCATTTATTTGTAAGGTAATTATCATCACTAGATAATCAGGATAGCTCCTCCAAGATAGACACATATTTTTTCCTGTAATACCTGTCAAATAGAATATGCTCTATATTTTCCATGCAGCTCCTGGGTGTGTATCTGCTCAATGAGTGAATGAACATTGCTTTCTTTCAGCTCCATCTTCAAAGGCTCTGCTGTCTGTGTGTACAGCATGGCTGACATCAGAGCAGTTTTTAATGGCCCGTATGCTCACAAGGAAAGTGCAGACCATCGTTGGGTGCAGTATGATGCAAGGATACCTTATCCACGCCCTGGCACAGTATGTACACAACTGAAAAATTAAATTATTTACTTAATTTAATATTCAATTTCTAACTCTATTATTACCAACCGTGGTATTTTTGAAAGTCACATGTGGGTTTGATTTTGAAATAACTAATATTTTTTATAATGATGTATTAGTATTCTTCAAATGAAGTTAATATTTTTGCTTTCAATGAAAATTTCAAGTACTATGGGACATGCTGGACTATATTGTAACAAGTGGACTATGGCGGCAATACAAATTTAAACTACAATATGTTGATTTAGCAATATCAAATGGCAGGTATTATAAATTAGATGAAATTGCCGAATATGCTGTTGTTTTCGCCATATAGCTCTGCACATCTTGTTAAACTCTTCTAGTCTCCGCTTCTTTGTAAAGCCTTCATTGGTTAAAATGGTACATTTGAATTACCTCCTATCTTATATGCATCTATATTTTTATTATGCTGTGTTTGGGTATAATCTACATTTCTTAAATTGTAAGCAATCCTAAGTAACCCTGAGTCCAAGCTAGTATGGTGGTGTATGCTTGGTCATAGATGTGTGAAGATTATGGCAGGAAGACTGCATTTGATGCTAGCATCAGAGCTCGCTGGAGAGAGAGAGGCTGTCAGATAAAAAAAAAGAACTCTGAATTTGAAATTATTTTCCAACAGTATAAATCATGTTTAATGACACACGAAAGAAAGAACAAATATTTTAGAACTTAGGCATTTGTTTGAAAAGAAAGACAGGGACTGAGGTGATGGCTCAGTTGGTAAAGTGCTTACCATGTAAACATGAAGACTTGAGTTTGGATACCGAATAACCTTGTAAAAAACTGAGTGTGATAGTGTATTCTTGTAATTCTGGTGCTGGGGACACAAAGAAAGAGATCCTGGAGACAAACCAGCCAGCCACTCTGGCCAAGGCTTGAGCTCCGGGATCAGTGAGAAGATCAGAGAGAAGCCCTGTATCAAAAAGTAAGGTGGAAAACTATTGTAGAAGACACCCAAATTTGCCCTCAGGCCTCCACATACTTGTGCACACATGATTACACACACACACACACACACACACACACACACACACAAACACAAAGTTCAAAATTCATTATGTGCATTATAAATAAGAATATTTTGTTGTTCATTTAAGTTATTTAAATTATTCATAATTGTTTAACTTAATATCAAGGACTACAATACATCAATTTCTCATTAGGATATACTCTAAATAATTCTATGAAGACATTTAAAATAATCATCAAAATAAGTTAATTTAACACTTCAAACTCTACTTAATATTGCCTTGTCATGGTTTTATTCTTTTTGCTTTTTTACTTTTTGTTTGTTCTGAGACAGGTTTCCCTGTATCCCAACTAAACTAGAACTTGCTATGTAGATCAGGCTGATTTTGATCACACAGAGATCTGCCTGTTTCCGCATCCAGTTTCTGGGATTAAAGGTGTGTAACACCACACCAGGCTACATATGTTTTCGTTAAAGGAAATAACTGGTAGCTAGGCTTTTTCATTATCATTCCACTGTTCTGTTACATAGTTTAATTAAACTTGGGAAGCATTATTATGCAACTGTCTCTAGTATTATTATTATTCTCCAGTATAAATATGTTGCAGAGATTTTTTTTTACTCTGGCTGAAAGATAGTCACCATATATATGGCCTTACTCTTTGGCCCAGTGTTGTTGGACTTTTCCTCAGGAAATGTGTACCAATGTTTATTCAAACCAGGCAAAGCATCTATTACAGGCCAAAAAGACTATTTTAAAGCCTAATTTGGTGAACCAACGAGTTTGTTGGTGTTAATAACAGAAGTATATGTAAAAGTTGGTTACTTACAAGAGCCTGAGTGACTTTTGGGAAGTTGAAGCACTGAAAAATTACATCTTAGCGTGAGTAAAGACACATAAAAATGATCTCTCTGGAGCTTCCACTGAACCACTCCCAGGCTGTTCTCATTAAAAGTATTCTTTCTCTCAGCAATTATTGCTGCTTATATAAACTTGAGGAGCGACTTTATGGATCTTCTCATTTTATGAGCTTCCTGAGCCTGGTGAGTTTTGTGAACTTACTGGGTCATAAGTGCCACCCTCTTTCCTCCAGGAGCCAATGCTTTAATAAGAAGCAAATATCTACACAATACCCACACTGCCTGGATGTCACTATGCATCCAGACTAGTTTTGAACTCCCTGCAGTCCAACTGCATCAGCTTGCAAGCTATTGCATGAAATATCACACGCAGCTGGTGGAAATATTTTTTCAAGTAATATTGAGTTTTCAGAAATCACATTTTAGTTTCTTTCATTTTATTGTTATCAAAAACATGGAATGTGCGATTTATTTCTATTTTGTTATATTTTTGTACATTTCATATACTATATCTCAATGAAATTTAGATCCCCTACCTGCACCTCTATGCCCCCACCCCACACACTGAATTTTGTGCGTTCTTTCATATACATTAAGTTCTTTCCTGCCAAGCATTTTTTACCCAGATGCCCTTTGGTGCAAATTCGTTCACTGGAGTCTAGTCAACCTATCTAGTCTCTCCCTTAAAGAAGATTTACTCTCCCTCACTCGGCAGTAATCAGTTGCAAATAGTTCCTAGGCAAGTGTTGGGGTCTGTTGGCCATTTCCCTCATTCAATGCTTGGTTTTTGTCTGACTGAGTCAGCATGGATCTTGTGCATGATGTCACCATTGTTGCAAGTTCATAGGTGACACATCTAAAGTGGAACCTCTACACCTAAGGTTCATGAAATATAGTGGAACAGGGGGTAGAGAGAACACTGCATCCCTCACCTCTCACCAGTGAAGCTTCCTCATACAACAGAGTGTGATGCACATAGAGAGCCACAACTGGCTAAGTTTTAGAAAATAAGAGAATAAGAAACTGCAGAGTGTGTGTCCCTGGATGGGATTCCTATCCACCCATGGCTCAGCGACCATTGCCAAAGAGGAGGTGGAAAGATTGTAAGAGCCAGAATTGGTGTATGAAAATAAGGAAATGGGCTTTCAGTCCACTGGGAGTTGCTCATGTGGTATTTTTAATTTTTAAGTGTACAATACACTATCATGTAGCATAGTCTTAAGTTCTTCAATGAATCTGTTGAACTCCTTCATCTTGGCTAACTGATACTTTATGCCCATTGATTGCTAACTCCTAGTTTTTTGCTTTTTCTCTAATAACGCATAACGACTAAAATGTTTTTTGATGAGATGAGTTTGGCTATGTCAATACCTCATGTAAGTAGGATTGTACACTTTCTGTGAGTGGCTTGCTTTACTTATCATCATGTTCTCAAGATTCTTTCATGCTATATACAACACAACTTTCTTCCATTTTCAGCCTATTAGTATTCCTGTGTGTGTATCTGTGTGTGTATTTGTGTGTATGTATGTGTATGTGTGTGTGTGTATGTGTGTGTGTATTTAGCTGTTCCACATCTTAGCTGGTAGGAATAGTGTTTCAATTATCTTAGGAATGATAATGTCACTCTGAGTTACTGATTGTAATTCGAACCATTACAGCCATTACAGTTAGTTTATGCAATTACCTCAGTATTATAGGAGAAATAATTTGAGACTGATACAATCTACATTAATTACAACATGTGTAGACCCCAACATTGAGTCTTACTGTGTTCAGATATTGAAACTAATGATCAAAACAGCCACATAGTGATATTTAAAGATGACACTGCTTTCCATGATGTAAGTGAGAAAGACTACACTGCGGATTGGTGCCACCGTATCCTCAACTCCTGCTTGAAAGAACTATAAATATTATAAAGGCTTAAAGGAAACTCACTTCTTATATAACACCTGTAAGTACATAGTCATTCTCTGAAATGACAATAAGGACTCAGAAAAAATCAGAAAGCACATGTCAATCAGGAGTACTTTTTACCAATGAGAAATGAACCAAAATATGTAAAATATTCTGGTCTCTGCTGTTTGTGCTCAAAATAGCTATATCTAATTTGGAAATGACTAAAGAATGCACAGGTGAACAACTTCTCTACTTCTTCTTTAGATATTTTAAAATTATATTTTTTATATCCTTATAATACTTTATTTTGTGTTACTATTTTATTTTTTTAAAATTCAGGATGCTGATATTGAAATTAGGACTATTATATATCTTATGTCAAAAATCTCTGACATAAGTGCTTCCCCCAAACAAACTTTACAGTTTTAAGTAACTAGGTTCATAAAATCATTGAAATTAAATTTCACAGTATATCAGGTGACTGGACTTGTAAAATCTGAGAAAGTATGAGTTGGACTGGGTGATAGAGACATCATATGTCACCCTCATTTTATACAGGAGAAAACTGGTATCCAGAATAACTAATAGCTTACCTGCTCTCACATTATGAGGAAAAGCAGAAGGAAAAATGCTGCTAGTTAGAGTTTTGTATTCAGTATTTTCCATATTTTTTGATATTCTCTTTATCTTTTATTTAATATTCACCTGGTACATTCATGACTGGATGTCTTACTCAAAATTATGTGCATTTATTTTATATCATTTCTTTTCCTCTTTGTACTTAAAGTACCCAGGGACTGCAGAGATGTCCCCAAGGTTAAGAACACTGACTGCTCTTGGAGAGGACCTGGGTTTGGTACCCATATGACATGGTGGCTTACAACCATCTGTAACTCCTGTTCCAGGCATCTGATGCACTCTTCTGTCTCCCATAAGCATTGCACATGTGTGGTGTGTTTGCATACATTCAAGCAAAACACTCATACATATAAAATTTTTAAAAATATTTTTCCAATAATTAAAAAACAATTTCCAGAACTATACATTTTGTTTTTCCACCAACTTGGAAATTTTATTTTTAAAAAGTAATTGAACCTTATGACTCAGACATTATCATATGTGCTTCTACATCATCCCACTACATTTCTTTTGTTTTTGTCTAAAGACAGAGTTTTAAGTAGTCCGGGCTAGCTTCAAGCTTGCTATGTAGCCAAAGATAGCC